GATATAGCAACGAACTGCAAGCATCATAATGGACACAAGCTCTATCAAGATAGATTATGTCTTTCACCTCCCGGCAGTTGGCTTTTTGCAGCTCGTGACAGTTTGTCTACATCGGCAACGGATGCACTTTGTTCGCCTGAAACCCGCCCACCCACCACCCGCCCGCCCGACCCACCCATGCACGCACGCACACAGCGAGCCGAGAATGGGGGTTTGCAAACCCCCATCTTCGAGCCGAGAATGGGGGTTTGTAAACCCCGATTTTCGATCCGAGAACGGGGGTTTGCAAACCCCCATATTTTCGAGCCGAGAATAGGGGTTTGCAAACCTCCATGTTCAACCCGAGACCCCCACAGGCATTTGGCTACCTTAGTGGTTTATGGTTGAAGGGATTGAGAGAATGTCAGGGATTGGGGGTTTGGGGTTTTGAATTTTCTGTGATGGTTTACAAGGGGGGGCGGGGACGACTGTGGGGATCTAGAAGCATCGACCTTACGGTCGCGTCCTTACGGACGATGTCCTGGCGGACAGGGTGCTTCGACCTTGCGGTCGCGTCCTTACGGACGACGTCCTTTCGGACGACAAGAAACAAAAAAAACACTGCCCTAGGCCCTACTTCAACAAACCTTGTGCCTGAACCTCTGACCTTGCACCCACATAGATGGCAACCCTCGACCTCACGGTCGCGTCCTTGCGGACGGCGTCCTTTCGGACGAACCCTTTTCGACCTTGCGGTCGCGTCCTTGCGGACGGCGTCCTTGCGGACGATCTAGACCCTGAACACTCGTAATCCAGAACCCCTGCCACTGCACCCGACGGAGTCGAGCGGCTGATTCCCAGACCCTCCGTGGTGTCCGCACTGATGCTGTCAATGGTGGCCTCGATGTATGGATGATCGGGCTTAGATTGGAATCTATTTTAGATTAGGGTTTCGAAGTCTCCATAGGTTTAGGGCTTGGGGAGCTTGGTTGTTCAAGGCTTTCGGCGCTCACACTCGGACACTCCAGGCGAGCCCTCAAGCCCGAAACCTCAAGTCAAGCTGGGCTTCCGGCCGGACCGGAAGCCACTGAACTTCTCGACCATGAGAAGGCCGAGATTCATCTTCACTCTCAATTCTCATTGTCGTTATGTTCTTTCTTATTCTCTCGCTCTCTACTCTCTACCTCTCTACGAGTTACACCAACCCACCCAAAAACTGAATTTTTATCAAGGCCTAAAGGGCACACTATAAGGGACACTGTAGGGTGCCCCATTACCGCTCCAAAATGGCCCAAAACACCCTAAGGTGTGGTTGGGCTTAATTTTTTATACACTTGAATCTAGGATAGGGTACCGTGAATAATATTTGGGCAGTATTGGTATATTCAGTTTATTCGTAACTATACGGTACTTGGACACTGAGGAACTTAGGGTGTTGGATCCACAATTCTGCAGAAGAGACCCGACAAGCAACCAAAATGGCCTAGGCGCTGTGTTACAAAAAAACTGGTGACTGAAGATGTGGAGCTTGCTAAGTACCTGTACAGCATGTAACCTTTGGGGTTCAGGGTTTAGGGTTGGTAACCTAATTATAGCCGTTCACCTTGCTGTGGAATATCATTCCAGTCCTTGCGGTGGAACATGCGACCATTTGCGTACCTGCGGCGCTGCTGCGGGAATCAACTTTGGACAGCAACTCCCCTGCTTCGGTTCACACGTTGTGGTCGCTGGTCTATCACTCAACAACAGCCATCTACTGCCAATGTTGGGATTTCGTTCCCCGAACCACATGAAGCCCTAAACCCTAAACCCCTACACCCTTAAACCCCAGACCCTAAACCCTAAACCCTAAGCACTTGACCCCAAAGCCGAAGCCCTGACTCGAAAGGTTGCTCTACGCACCAACACACATCAGCAAATTAACGTAATTACTCCAAGACAGTTCTCACACCGGAATCAAACCTCTGAAGCCCTGAACCTTGAAAGACGAAACCCTTACACAAGCCCGAAGCCCTAAACCCCAAACCACAAAATATATAAGCATGTACAGCCGAAGCAAGAAACTGTGAAGCCTAAATCCGAACCCCCCTTCAAAAACAAAGCGCCCGAGGCAGAACCGCTGAAACCTCAACTTAACAATAAGCCAGAGCACATGTAGGGCGACCACTCCTTCGCCATTTGCGGGCTGACCTGATGTCAGCGGACGCCAGAAACTCCAAAAACAACTCCATACATACGATAGAAGCCTGAAGAATTACCAATACTATACCTTGGGGGGTTGTGTACTATACTCACGGTATGCTATACCTCAAGGCCCTCTTCCAATTCTTGGGGCCCCTTTTTTTACTTAAGCAAGAGACGGGTCGGGGATTGAGGGTCCAAGGTCTGTATTGTAAGGGGGATCCTTGAGAATGCAAGGCGGTCCTAGAGTAGCCAAGGTACCTTAAACCGTGTGTGTGTTTTAATAACCTCGCTGTATTTACATGGGGGTATTTTGGGTTCGCATGTCGAAGGGCTTCGTGATCTGCGGCCGGAACCACCCATACCCTGAACCCTGGCCCCAAACCTTAATGCCTTAATCCTCATCCTACCTTGAGTGTGTGTGTGTATGTGTGTGTGTGTATGTATGTGTTTGCTTTCCCCAGGATGTCCCAGAAGCCCTGTAAGAAATCGAAACGGAATCCCTGGAGGAAGGCACCAGGATAGACACAACAATGAGCAACCTTATCTTGTCACAGCTCGAAGCAGCACTTACAGCCCTACAGTAAGCAACCTTAAACCCTAAACCCAAAGCCCTCAACCCTAGACCCTAAGCCCTAAACCCTATAAGCCCTAACCCTAAACCCTATAAGCCCTAAGCCTAAGCCCTAAACCCTAAGCCCTAAACCCTAAACCCAAAGGCCTAAGCCCTAAACCCAGCCCGCCCTAAGCCTGGAAGCCTGGAAGCCCATAATGGGGTGAGGGGTCCAACATTGACCCGAGATTCCTCTGACTACCATGACACCCGGGTTCCGGATCAGGGCTTAGGGTTTAGGGTTCCGGATTAGGGTTTAGGGTTTAGGGTTTAGGGTTTCGAGGTTTAGGGTTTAGGGTTCCGGGTTAGGGTTTAGGGTTTAGGGATGTAATTCCTCTGACTACCAGAACCTGGGCTCCGATTTGTATATCTAGAGAGATACCCAGAGGGTCCATATATACTACCATTATGGAGTTAGGTCCCAAAAGACCATCCCTAATATGGTTTTGGGGACCTAATTCCATAATGGTCGTATTCATGGACCCTCTGGGATATAGCAAGTTCTCCAAAAAGTAAGTCTTTTTGGCCACAAGGAGGGTCTGGGAGTCCAGGATGAGGGGAGGTATTTCAAATCGTTTCAAAAGGTTGCTACCGGGTCTTACCGGGTTTCCGAAGATGGTTTCCGAACGCCAAACCCTCAACCTTAAACGATCCGTGTGCTTCAGAACACTTGGTGAAGGGGGGCGACAGTGATAAGGGAACGGCTCGATAACTTACTTCTGAAACTCCGCAACCAAGGTGTTTAGGGCTTGGGGGATTGACGGTTAAGGAGTTTGCTTTTTCTGCATAGGGGGGGGGGGGTCAACAGAGTCTAAAGATTGTCTGTCAAAAAAATCTGCGCAGCTTTCAATGCATGATGAACTGCGATCTCCCATCGTGGCCGCAAGTGATAATATGGCGGGTGAATGACTCGAGCAGGGTTTCAGGGTGTACGGTAATATACTTATAAACCCTAAACCCTAAACCCTTAAACCCTAAACCCCAGGATCTTTATAGAGGGCATTCCAGTTCTAGCACCCGCAAGAAGTTCGCAGTTCTGGGTTGCTGGGGCCGTAGCCCGTTTCTGGTGCATCGCCAAGCGCATGTCAGAAGCTACGGAGCGTGGTACCTCCGGCGGCGTAGCGTAGGTTGAGGATATGCGAGGGGCAGAGGGTCCTAAGTGGTAAGCACTTATATTACAGAAGTAGAGTTTCGAGAGTAAGAATTGCCATTATGGTTTGGGTAAGTGTCCCCCAGTAGAGTACCCAGGACCCTTTGGAGGGGCAGAAGGTTCTTGCCTACGAGTGGCGGATTTAAAGGAGGTCTTGGGACCAACGGAGCCGCCACCACGAGAAAAGGAAGAGGCTGACGACGACGACAACGACGCCAAAGATGGCTGCCACTGCCACTGCCACTGCTACTGCGACTACACAGGAGAAGCAGACGAAGCAGATTCTACTTTCACTTGGCTGCAAGATACTGTTCTGATGTTCAGACCCCGATCTCACTTGTCTTGTAAGTAACTCCCCCGGGCCGCCATCGCAGTCTATCGGGCCTGATCTCATTGAGTGTGCCCCCAAAAACTGATACGGAAGCGACAGCTTTAATGCTCTACTTACAGCATGTTTGCGAACGCTGTGTCCAGCACCTGGTGAACCCAAACCCCAAGCCCTAAATGCTAGACATTAGGTTTTGCAGATCACATGCTTCACACTTCAGTCCGGTGACACTCGAAAGCAAGCCCAACAGTCCAAAACATCCTAAATCCCTAAACCCTAAACCCCCAAAGCCCAAAACATCCTAAATCCTAAAACCCTACTTAGACTGAACTTGTCCAACCACGGTTCGGGTGCAGGGTTTACCTTGCGTGAAAGCCCAGATCCCAGGTACCTGGACACCAAAAGTCTGTAGAATAAGAGTTGATAGCATTTTGCAGGTGTTGGGCCACTATTTTTTTTACCTACTTTCGTGAGTCTGGGTGGGCTGCTGTCTAGAAGGGCTTGGATCCTCTTCTACGCGTTTTCTCCCTCAGTAGGTAGCTAGCAGTCGGGTGCGATCTTGCCGATCAATCGCCAGTGCTTTGCTTCGAAGGAAGCAACATCTGCAGTACAGATGTCCTTGGAGCCATATCTGGGCCTTTTGGCCCCTGTCCGCGAAAACCATTTCTGAGTCTCACTGCGGAACAAGCCGTCGAAGTTTTCACACTTGACCGGAATCTGCTTTGCCACCTGGATGACGGCAGGGCTCGTAGACGTCATCATATCAGGGTGTCTGAACAAGTAGCCGTCGCTCCACCTGCCGATTGGCCAGGGCTTGCATCTCGAAACGTTTTTTCGCATGGCCTGCTTCATCTCGTAAAAATGCCGCGCCAATCGAACGACATCGATTGCCGCATGAGGTGGGGACTTGTTCCGAAGCTTGGAGCTGCGACCGTTCACAGAGTTCCTGCACTGCAACCACTTCTTGCCTGTCTTCTTCTATAACGGGGCCCAAAATTAAAGTTCAAGCTTGCAAAAGCAGATCAAATCATGCAAGGCTAAAAAGTTTGAGTTCTTCCATTGTCTATCCACGTTGCCTGTCAGGCCAAGGCTAGCATTGCAGATCAGGAAGGCTGCGCCACTGCAGTTGACCTCCTTCAGGTAGTCATAGGAAACCTTCGTTGCGGAACTCAGAAGTCAGAAGCCCCAAAAAAGCATACACTGTCAGTTGTATAGGGTTTAGGGTTTAGGTTTTGGGGAAATTAAGAGAATAAGGTGATGACAGTATCCCAACAAGGTGTAAAGAGGAACTCATTCAGCTGCTAAGAAACGGGAATCACTCTGTCAAATGGTCTCAGTCGGTTCAGCTGCTGCAGCTGTGTGTCACTGTCTCCTTCGCCATCATTAACATTTAACATTCACTTTAGCTAAACCCTAAACCTCTATAATCCCTAAACCCTAAACCCCTAAACCACTAAACCCCTAAACCCTAAACCCCAAACCCTAAACCACTAAACCCCTAAAATAGCTAAACCCTAAACCTCTAAAATCCTACCGGGTCTCCCTGTGCATCGGCCGGGAGATTCATTTTCTCTGCCACATACGAAGAGAAGCTCCTCGGGGAGCCTCGGTGGCCAAAACAGAAAAAACCCTATGGGTTTAGGGTTTAGGGGTTTAGGGTTTAGGGGTTTGGGGGTTTAGGGTTTAGGGGTTTAGGGTTTAGGGTTTTTAGGGGTCAGGGGCTGAGGGGTTTAGGGTTTAGGGGTTTAGGGGCTATTGGTTAGGGGTTTAGGGTGTAGGGTTTTAGGGGTTAGGGGTTCAAGGTTTAGGGTTTATGGGCTTGGGGTCTCGGGGTTAGGGGTTCAGGGTTTAGGAGTCTGGGGTTTGGGGTTTAGGGGTTTAGAACTCAAAACGCTATGGGTAGCTTTCTAAATTCGGGCTCCGTTTACGGCCTTTTCTTTATACGAGTGGCGTACTATCCTGGGACCTGTCAAAAACACCTCGGGCTCATAGACCCCCTCAGGCTCTAAGGACTCATATTTTAGGGCTCTTGGGCCCAAAGACCATAGTATAGAAGGCTTTTGAGCTATTTTACGCCTTAGGGTATAATCTAAGGTTTTAGGGATTAGGGGTGACCGGTTCAGGGTCTAGGGTTTATGGGCTTGGGGGTAAGGGTTTAGGGGACTAGGGCGTGACTAGGGGTTTAGGGGTTGGGGTTTATTGGCTTTGGGGTAAGAGTTTAGGGGTTTAGGGCTTAGGGTTTAGGGTTAAGGGTTTGGGGTTGAGGGTTCAGGGTGAAAACTACAAGAGGGTTTGGGGGTATATAATGTATAGTAACCCTGGGGAATAATGCTTGTAATTGCTAGGCTTCTATATTCTGCCAGTGTTTAGGACCTAGGAAGATTGTGGAATTGTGGACTTGCCTATTAGGGTTGAAGTCTGCGTCTTTGCGGGGCTCACATGCTTCTGCGCCCAGCCGACCGTAACAAGCATGTGGTCATGTGGCCATTGGTGTTGAGTAGGGTGTTGGTTCAGGATATCCCAAGAGAAAACGCACCATAGGACAAGACAACCACACCCAACGTTGTATCCTCGGCATGTAGGCTTGGGAATCTAACAAAAACGAAAGCATGGACAAGTATACTAACAACTCAACCATCGCACTGTCGTGCTTGGAGCCTTGTGACCAGCGTGCTGCATTCCAGGCAGCGGAGCTCCGGTGAAATACCACTGCAGTTTGGCAGGTGTCTGCCCTAATTTCTGACCTGAAGCACTGCCACGACTTGTTATCGAAGGTCTGGAAGCCCTCGCTGGACAAGATTACCAGCTGAGATGAGTTCAGCTTGGACTGGAGAAAGCCCAGCCCGTCTTTCAGCTTCTGCTTCACTTTCTCCTCTGACAGCCGCAAGGATTTCAACAGGGCCGTCTTCCCATTGCCTTCGCTCAGAAGTGACCAGCGAGAAAATTCAAACACAACCGAACTTTCATTCGGCAATGGCTCCTATACCTGAGGAACAAGATCCAATAGAGCCCTAAAACCAAAGCCCTAAACCATAGTGATTCAGATCAAAGCTGCAGAAGTAGGTAAGTGGATGCACAATGCACTCGGCAACTGCCTTGCCGCTGCCATGGAAACCCACACTAACATCCCACTGCTCCTGAAGCCAGCCGGAATTCTTCACCAGGAATTCTTGGATTGCCGTGGTTCCTGTTTTTGGCGGCCCAACATGAATAATCAACTTCGGCCCCTTGCAGGGTACAGATGAAGATGACGCTGGAGAGGCAAAGGAACTGAGCCCAGCTCCTGCCCTCTGCTCGCGCTTTTCGGCACTGTCCGTGCCTTAGCTGCTTCTTACTACCTTTTGCTGTATCAAGCCTAAAAGCCCAACCCTGCAGCTGCCACTTCGACCAAAATTCCTGGGAGACGAAACCCAAACCCTGATACAGCAACCCAACCTCTGCATCCAGGCCAGTTTCTTCTAGCGACGGTGGAGACCAATTTTGCGAGTGGTTCGAAGATGAAGAGCATGACAAAGAAGGCCCACGTCAGCGCATATGGGTGAAGGCACATCTCCACTGGTTCAGTGTGTTTCAGTATTTAAGGGGTTTGGGCTGTCTGGGGCTGCAGGGCACTGCAGGGCACTGCAGGGTTCGAGGGCTTAGTGTAGTAATTGCTTACAGGTTCTTTAGAGTTAGACCTATCTCCATTGAACAAATTTTCTATCGGCTTTGCTGAGAAGGCATGCTCTGGGTTTAGTCTAGGTATGGGCTTCTTCACTTTTCCCCGCTACACTTGCGCCCCTAACTCCTTATTTTATAGCCCAGTATGGGCTTCTTCACTGATCCCCGCTACACTTGCGCCCCTAACTCCTTATGTTATAGCCCAGCTCGCCCATCCTAGACATTTGTTTACACATGTATCAACCCGCATACCACTTCACCCTTGAAGAACACAAACTTTACAACATTTTAAACCCGATTTGTTTCTCAATGTGTCAAGCAACGTTTTTCCCTCAACGAGTATATATACTAGCGTTTTTAACTATTACACGCCTCAATCGTTTCTTACATCATATTTAACATTATATAATGCAGAATAGTCTGTAACATATTATGTAAAATATTCTGTGAACTATTATTTTTCAATAAGCTCAACCTTGTTAGTTTATGCTTAGACTTTTATCGCGTCTTATGCATAATTTACCGCGGTGGCTTATTCAGAATTTGCTGTAGTGTCCTTTTCTTTATGATATGTCCACATGCCTTACACTTGTCAAAATAACCTAACATTCACAAATATCATCAGGCAATAATTCATTCAATGTTTTATGTTGTTCTTTGATTTCTTCGGCTCTTTTGTAAGGTGGGGTGTTTCAGCACCCTGAATGCTGCTTGAGGGCATCGGCAGGCATGCGGGGACAAAGCGCCTTGGTTTCAAGCTGACGGTTCAGGGTTTATGTTTCTGTCAAATACGCAGGTCCGAGTAACAATGTTTAAAGTATGGAACAAGAAACCTACTGGCTCACATATGGGGCTCACCTAATTTAACTATTTGCCAGTACTATCGTACTATTGTTGTTGATATCATCGTCGTCATTCGTTGTGCTTTCACTCCTTTGTCTTTATGAGCAATATCATGGTCATTACTGAACCCACTAGTTAGTACGAGAATAAATATTTGTATTTAGCCTGTGTATTAGTACCTGTACTTCTATTGCAGTAGTATCAGCATTAGCATTAGCATTAGTATTACTAGTAGTGTTAGTATTAGTATTAACATTAGTAGTAGCACTAGCATTACTACCAGGACTAGTATTAGTGTAAGTATTCGTATAAGTATTAGTATTGGTATTACGATTAGTATCAGTAATACTGTTGCATAGTGTTAGTGTTAGTTTTAGTGATTAGTAGTAGTAGTAGTAGTAGTAGTAGTCGTGGTGGTGGTGGTGGTGGTGGTAGTAGTAGTAGTAGCAGCAGTACCAGCAGTAGTAGTAGCAGTGGTGGTGGTAGTCGTAGTTCTAGTAGTCGTATCAGTATTCGTATGCACCAGTATCGGTAGTAGCATCAGTACTCGTATCCGAAATATCGCTAGTAGTAGTAATAGCAGTAGTGGTAGTGGTGGTAGTAGCAGTACTAGTCGTAGTAGCCGGTATCGATATAAGCATGAGTACTCGTATCTGCAACAGCGCTAGAAGTAATAGTAGTAGTAGTAGTAGTAGTAGTAGTAGTAGTGGCAGTGGTGGTAGAAGCAGTAGTAGTCGTAGAGTAGTCGTCGTAGTAGTAGTAGTAGTAGTAGTAGTAAGTAGTAGTAGTGGTAGTAGTAGTAGTCGTCGTAGTAGTCGTAGTCGCAGCGGTAGTCGTGGTGGTGGTCGTAGTAGTAGAAGTAGAAGTAGAAGTAGAAGTAGAAGTAGAAGTAGAAGTAGAAGTAGAAGTAGAAGTAGAAGTAGAAGTAGAAGTAGAAGTAGAAGTAGAAGTAAAAGTAGAAGTAGAAGTAGAAGTAGTAGTAGTAGTAGTAGTAGAAGTAGTAGTAGTAATAGCAGTAGTAGTAGTAGTAGTCGTCGTCGTCGTCGTCGTTGTCGTCGTAGTA